TATATATATATAATAAAATAAAATTTTTAAAAAAAACTATAAAGTGAAACAATACGTGGGAAGTTTGCGTAAAAAGAGAACACAAATTTGAGATAGTGGACCACAACTTTCTCGAGCACAGCTTTGTCTAGCAAAGTGAAAACACTAATAGCACTATGCCACTATATAATATTTTTATTATTTTTTACTTTGTTCTTCAATTAATCAATTCATGACTCCATTCTTCAATAGCCAAAGATCAAGCATTATTGTGGAGTTTCAGACTTCAGAGTTCAGTGTATTGATTCAAGAAATAGTGGGGTGCTTTTTGTTTGTTCTATTTTCATAATTCAAGTCTTACGACAAGCATACTCGAGCAGAAAATTTAACTTGATATCAAGCTATCCGTTCTTGAATCAGGTTCTATCATTCTATCTTTTTATTATTTTCTCATCTAAAATTTAATATTTTGCTATTTATTCTATCTTTTTATTATTTTCTCATCTAAAATTTAATATTTTGCTATTTAGTGCATTTTTAGATTATTTATTAGAAGATAAGTATGTCAAATAGAAAGTGTGAATCTGGTTATGAAAAATTCAAGAAAAGAAGAAGAATTCAAAATCTAATACAATCTCAAAAATGTGCTCTTGATAAATTTTTATTGAATCAGAAAATTTGGGAGAGTGTTCTCTAGATGAGCAAGTTAGTAATTCGGTTGAGTTAGATAATTCTAAAATTAATAATATTTAAGTAGAAAAAGAACAAGTGACAAGTAAAAAATAGATCCTCAAAAAAATACATTGATGCTTATGAATGAAATAGATAATTCAACTCCTATAAATATAATGTCTCAAGAGAGATTAAATGAGTTAGCTATATTGTCAATTGAGAAAGACTTATTAGGAGAAATTGATTATAAGAAAATTATTAGTAACTTTACATCTAAAAAGCTAGAAAATTGACTTCAAATAATAAAAAAAATTAAAACATTAAGGCCCCTCATTAAAGTTTGGCTTTAGGCCCCAAAATACGTCGAGCCGCCCCTGAATATAGGGAATTCTAGTGCTAGGTAGTCTATATCAAGGAGGATTCTATATTAAGGTTCTAACCCTGGTTAATGGTAGATCAATCTTTACCATTATTCCACATCTATTGGAATGATTCGCATTAACTTATTATAGTTATTTTTGGTTTCTTACTCGGTGTCCGGTACCCGCATTGGGACCCAACTAAATCCGGATTCGCGCCGGAAAGTCCCACATTTGGGGGCAAAGTGCTCCCTAATAAAGGCGACTCCATACCCAAAGCTCAAATCCGAAACCTCTGGTTAAGGATAAAGGAGTACTTACCACTCCACCGCAATACTTGTTGGTTATTATGGTTAAAATATTACTAGCTTAGGTATTATGAACTTGCACAATCGTTAACGATTTGGCAAGAAATAACCTTCTGTGTTACTTGTTTACCCAATTTGAAGGTTTTATAATAATCCAGCAGGCTTATTTTCCTCCTACTCTTAGATGAATAATTGACGATCATATTCAGGAAATAATTTTATTTACCTTTTGACATAGAACAAAAGATTATGGTGGAATCGATTTTTATCTTAATTAGACATCTCGTGTTAAGAAACACATGCAATGCTTTAGTCAAAACCAATGGTTCTTCCTCTAATAAGCAATCCCAGCTAGCTAAAAACAATGTAAACCATCTCTAAATACAACCACAAAAATGTCCTCACTAAAATCCCCACTAAAACTTCGTCTTAAAAGTGTCACAAGCAAATCATCAAATCCTATAGCTAATACATTCACCATCTCTTAAGTAATCTATAGCAGCTGAATTTTCACTGAGTGAAGCAACTTTGGATACAATTAATCAACAATCTTAACAAGCATAGAGGTAAAATAACTATACACAACAACAACATACCCATGTAATCCCAAAAGTGGGGTCTGAGGAGGGTAGTGTGTATGCAAACCTTACGTCTACCTTGTGACGGTAGAAAGGTTGTTTCCGATAGTCTCTGGGCTCAAAAAAAGCATAGTCACATCAGATATGACAAAGAAATACGGAAGTGGAGGTAAAATACCTATACCCATCAGTAATAATTGAATGTACATGCTTAATGAGTATGAACTTTTGCCAAATGGGGTTTGGGTAAAAATCCCAAAGATTAAGCTTTATTCAAGTTTGAGTATTCCTCATGTGTTAGGACTTTTTAAGGAAAAAGGGGGGCTTAATTGGGGTTTAAGAAGCTCAAAAACTTCTATAAGAGAAATAAGGCAAAGCCCATATTAGACAAGGAAATTCTCAAGTAAATGCTTTTCAATTCTATAAAGCTAACACTGAGATTGCTTACTCTTACTATTACAATTGTCAAACTTGGAACTGAAACTTATGAAACAGAGTACAAGTACAATCAGTTAAGACACATGAAATTCCAAGTAAAACTATAAAATGCTTTTAAAGCAAGGAACTAGGCTTATGACAGGCTGTTCTACGCCTATGTTCCGTATATCTCATGTCTCTCCAAATAGAAGGAGGGTTCAGCTGTTGCAGGCATTATTTATCACCACAAATGATCCTTCTCTCGGTCCTCATTACTGTGGAAACTCTGAAGGAGGCAAAGAGCAAGATGGTTATTAGAAATGGTAATTTGGAAGCTAGCAAAACGAAACGGGACACCAGAACAAGAAAACAACTAAAGACATGACTATGGTGCAGATATGCTTCATAGAAATGTAGATACATAGATTCAATTAAACTCAAACATGACCTATTATCTAGCACAATCTTTATACATACAGAGTTAACATATGTATTTTAGAGCACACAAATTTATGCCAAGCAACAAGTGAAGTAAAAATGACGGAGGCGCTATCTACCTAATTGTTTAGACTCCATAGAAAACAACAAAGGGTCTTCAGAATCAGATAGAACTTGCACTATGGCATGTCAGTCAGAGGCGGATCAAGGATTTGAGCTTATGGGCTCGGATTCAGAATTCTACCACTTCCTGTCTACAGAACTCAAAATCCTTGCCACAGAACCCAAGACCATGTGCGGAAATTAAGTTCACACGTCAACATGCCTGACACATGTACTCTTTTCCTGCCACTTTCGGATAATTATTTTAGTTTTTGGGATTTACCTCAACCTCCACATCTACTTGTCAAATTTCTTTTTTTATGAGGATCTACTTGTCAAATTTTTAGGATATTCTGACAAGTTTTCAGTGAGTTCCACAAATCAGAATTTTCAACAACCATCAGTCAAAATTCCTACAAATTTCTTCCTTTTACATTGCTTTTAGCCAAATTTTCCCATACTCTAAAGTCTAAATCTTGATCCCAGCTTTTGACCTTAGCGCACTGATTTCCATTTCTTCAATTTATATTGCTTTTTACCAAAATTTCCCATGCTCTAAGACTTGATCCGAGCTTTTGATATTAGCTCACCTAAGCTTCTGAACTTCCTAAAGATTTTTTTTTTCCTTTTGGGATTATGGATTTTGGAGACTTCCTCAACAAATAGAGTATTCCGCCAATTCAGGTATTTTTCTAGTAAGTAATACTGTATTACTGAACCTTCAGGTTTGTCTCATCAATTTCTAACATTTTCTTTTAGGCTTTGTGGTACTTTCTTCAATTGTCCAACATTTGTCATTGAACTCTCAATGTCCATATCCAATAGCGTGTAGGTTGGATCTGGCAAATTTGGTACCAAGAAGATGGGGTCCCGTTGTTCAAGTAGGTTGTTGGTTTTGTTACTCTAATTATTATGATTTCAGTATCAGGCACTAGTCTCCACATGCTGTTTCCACACCGATGTCTCCCAACCCCTGCTCTTGAGCCTTGAGCCCTAACTCATGAGCTTCCAAATCTCTACTATTTATTATTTTCGATCTCTTCCCATAATTACATTGGCTAATGAATCCCAAGCCACAGCAAACGGTTTATGTCAAGCTATCGCTCTTCCCTCTTTAACTTTCATTTCAGCCTTACATCTATTAGTCGAATATCCTAAAAACTTAACTGTTTAGTAACATTTTTAAATAATTCTATTGACATACAGGACTGCAGTCACTGCACTACCGGATGAAGAATTAGTAAGCGTGAGTCATATATATTTTAACTATCTTAAACTTCCATGATCATTCACAGCTTGTCCTGTTATCAATTCTCTAGAAAAACTACATATATGATTAAGACATCTTAGTTTACCTAAAATTAGAAAAATTGTACCTTCTTCCATCTCACTTGTCTTTGTCTACATTGAGAAAGATGGTACAAGTTGACCCTCTAGTAGTATTTCTCGACTAGGTTTATCCACAGCTCAATGCATAAGACAAGGGTCCTAATCTTTGAGAATAAAAATATTCCTCGACATTGTTACACATGATAATGCTCAAAAAGTATGCTTTCTTTCAAAAGATGGGCATTCTTTGACTTCAAGATATAAGCTAGTGGTTCTTCCGTGCGAGACCCTCCATGACAGAGCTTCCAATGCATACTTTAATAAGTTGCATAAAAGCTCTTTCTTACAAGGACTAAAGTGGAAATATGCTTTTTTTGTTTGTAGTAATTCCCTAATGGATCATTACTTCTATTCCAATAGTCATCAAATTCATTATTAAGTTACACTAATAGTAGCCCATGAAAGTTTTCCAAAAATGTCAGAGCTCAATATTCCTTTTATTTCAATTCCCAATTATCTATCAAGCGTATAGAAGATATTGAAATGGTGTTAACGCAGTAAATTATTTTCCAAGGTTTTACAAGTCTGTTCAACTAATATCCAACTATTATAAATTACAGTGTGATCCTTTGAAGTCCTCGTCAAAGCAGCCATGACCACTACCCAATCAACATTTAACTGATAGCTCAATATAACTAATTTGCTAATTCATTGACGGAATTAGTTATTTTTCTTAATTAATTCACATTTAACTAATTAACACACGTTAGAAATCATTTTTTCTCTTCGCATCAATCAATAGATCTAGATGACCAGATGGCAACGGGTCAAGAGACTCAAGATCCCCAAGTACACTAGGATATGGTGGAGATACCAAAACCTTCCACAATATATTGTTGTGCAATCCAATCCCTCATGTCTTACATCCCAAATGAGGTAAGTTTATTTCTTGATAAGAAGGAGATTTTGCAAATTATTGAAGTATGCATTGGCAATCCTATCTACATAGGTCTTGGAAGCAAGAACCACTAGCATATGCCTTAAAGACAAAGAACAAGAAGGCATTTTTTCTTAAGTACTACTATGTGAAATAATGTCAAGGGATAATTGTATTTTACAGAATAAACCTTATCTCTTTATACATGATGCATTTAGTTCTATACAACGCACCGTTAAGAAATACAACAAGAGTCATTGTTGTATTCAGTACCAGACTTGTTATTCTCTCCAGAGGCATTTGCTTGTTCCATCTTAAGTGCTCAATTATTGGTGGATTTAGCTTGAGAGGGAGGACACAGATTTCTTAGAGACAGAAAATATTTACATCGACAAGCTTGAAATTTAGGTGTGTTATTTTAACTCCTTAACTTGCATATTCTCATGAGTACAATCCTTTCATGAGATGATGGCAATGTGAAATCTTTGAAACTCTACGTGCTTCTGTTGCTTGTTTACACCACCACTTCCTTCAGAAGGTTGTGACCTAGGCTTTCTCTGTCCTTTTTTTCCTTTTGGCCGGGGCAAAGGGGGAAGACTTAGAGTGAAGGTATAAGTGGACATATTTTTCCTAAGAAGCAAGATTGCATACCCCCACCCCCTCCCCTCTAAGAGGAACTTTCCTCTCAAGGCCAGATTAAACTCTAGAAGGATCACTATGCCAGATTAAACTCTAGAAGGATCACTATCTTCGAATGGAAGAAAGGCGTCAATTACAGCTGCAACAAAAACAGAGAAGTCAGGCGTCAAAGAAGGGGAATTCAAAGAAAGAGAAGGAGATGGAAAAATTAAAATGTCTGATAAATTATGAGGGAGGTGACAAGCGAGATAGGGGCAGGCACTACAAATCCTTCTCTGGATGAAGTTAAAAGTCTTGAGTTGGAACGTGTGTGGGTTGAATGATGCTGGGAAAAGGGAAACACTAAAGTCCCTTCTTTATAAATGGAAAGCTGATGTAATTTGCCTACAGGAAACTAAAATAGAAGACTGGTCGAATAGGCTGGCACTTCAAGTTTGGGGAACAGGTGGACAGTTTGGGCAGAATTAAAATCATGTGGTAACAATTGGGGGGGTGATAATCTTATGGGACAAGAGACAATGGAGTTGTTCAGGGATTCAACAAGGATCCTACACTATCTCTTGCATGCTAGATGGTCTCCAAGAAAATTTTAGATGGTGTTTTACAGGGGTTTATGGCCCTCATACAAATTCAGAAAGAGAGGTATTTTGGAGTGAACTAGCTGCTATTAGAGGCCTTTGGAGTGATCACTGGGTTGTAGGAGGGGACTTCAATGTATGCAGATTTGAAAGCGAAAGATACAATTGTATCAGGAGATCAAAAGCAGTGTCAAGATTTTCTGATATCATTCAAGACTTGGGCATCATTGATCTTCCTCCCCAGGGGGCTTTCTAAACTTGGTCAAGAGGGGAAGATTCTATTCAAGCATCCAGAATTGACAGGTTCCTTATCTCCCCAGAATGGAATGATAGCTTCAAGAAAGTATCTCAAATTGCTCTTCCCAAAGTCATATCTGATCACATGCCAATCATGCTTGAAAATGGTGAATGGAAGACTAACCCAACCTATTTCAAATTCGAGAACATGTGGCTGCAGGTAGAAGGTTTTCTTGACAAAGTTAAGGAATGGTGGCAGGGCTACTCAGTGGTAGGCACTCCAGACTATATCCTGCTCCAGAAGTTGAAACTACTGAAGAAAGACATATCAACTTGGAATAGAGAAGTTTTCGGCAAAATTGAATCCCAGAGGAGCAAGGCACTGAGGAGCAAGGCACTGGAGGAATTAATGTTTCTGGACCAGGCTAGTGAGACCAGGCTGCTATCACCCATGGAGCAGTCCAAAATGCTTGATCTAAAGATGAAAATTCAGAATATTGCCAAAGCGGAAGAAACATCCTGGAGACAGAAATCTAGATGTTTATGGCTAAGTGAGGGAGATAGAAATACCAAGTATTTCCAAAAGATGGCCAACAGTCACAAGAGATACAATTGCATTGACAGACTCAAAGTGGGGGAAGACATTATTGAGGACAAGAACCAGATCAAACAGGAAATATTGGGCTTCTATGAAGACCTCTACTCTGAAGCTGAACATTGGAGACCAACAACCGACTTTGAAGATTTGGCTTGCATCTCAGAGGAGGAAAAGGAGGAGCTTGAAAAAGAGTTTGGGGAAGAAGAAATACTAGCCACCATCAAGTCCTGTGCTCCGGATAAGGCACCAGGTCCTGACAGATTCACCATGGGATTCTTCCAGAAGGCTTGGGTCATAATCAAATCCGATGTCATTAATGCCATGAATCACTTTCACCGACACTGCCATATGGTGAGATCTTGCAATGCTTCATTCATTGCATTGATCCCAAAAAGAAAGGGGGCTATTGAACTAAAAGATTATAGACC